TATAGAAATTCGACTAGCAGTCTTTTCGCTGGGTATTGGGAAACACTGTCTGAGTTTATCAGAAAGACTGCCCATTTCCAAGAGAATTATCCTTAACGACCCACGACTTGTCGACCCCTGCACATTGATCGAGCAGAATGTCATCAGAACCCAGAGGTTTTACAGCAAAGTCTAACAGAATATCCTCGTTACTGGAAAGTGCGATAAGCATAATCGGATCTACAGTGGTTGTATACAGAAATTGTAGAAGGCAAGGGAATTGAGTAAAAGGGAGTTGAATAAAATAACTTACAGCCACTAAGAATGTTCGCGGCGGCTCCGACATTCTCAGACTGGGTCGATCCATAGACACCATTGGTGTCGAGCTTGAAGTAAGTGCTGGCAGGCCCTGTGCTTGCCCAGACCTTGATATTTGTGTATTGCTGTTTGATAGTCACGCCCGATCGTCTGTAGTACAGGAACTTGCAGAAGAAGCCCTTGGCCGACGCACCGTTGGGGCAGGTGCTAGCTTGGAACTCCTTGTCTTCACACTCACCGATGGTGTCGCTGAGCACGGTGACAATATCATTGGAGTCCAGGCAATCGCAGCGGATGATTATGAAGTCATCCTTCGGTAAATAGTTCATGATGGTGAAGGTCTTGCTATCGGCCGCTGCAGCATAGGACACCATCGCCAGTTGCAGAAGGACGACACATATCACTAGAACATATGCTCTCGCCATTGGGAAGAGTAGAGCGCGAACGAAGCAAGTGTATGAACCAGAACCTCTATACGAGCACCTAATTTGCCCCGAAAGGCTCTGCTGTATGCAAGCAGGCGTGTTTGAACTTGGAAAAATTTCCTAGAAGAAAGCGAATGAGCCACTTCCACAAACCGGTGTTGGCTCTTTTCACTGATCGTCAATTGATATAGGCATCTCCTGCAACTCCTCAGACTAGTGAACAGATCATCTTCATCCCTCGACACGCATGTACTTCTGACCTAGTGTCATGTTGATTTGTCCACGTCCTCAGCGTTCTAAAATCCACGGTCTGTACTGCAGATAAGGGAGGTAATTACTTGAACAGACAAAGGCAGCCACTTGATGAGTTAAGGTCTAGAACCACTTGTACAATATTCGGCTACTATAGGTCAATCCTGTAGGTGGCGTGCGCATGAAAGCAAAGATGCGTTTGCGACTTCGCGAATTCCACCCTTGTCATTTGTGGCGACCTTTAGCATCTGACATAATCTTAAGCCTGTGCAAAGGGTTTTTTTTTCCCTGTGCATGATCTTACTGCCATGATTTTAACACAGTTCTGTTCATAAAGTAAAGTCAAATCATTGTTCTGAGTCAAATCTGAACACGACAACATGGAAATTGTAATGCACAACTACTACGACAAAGATACTGGAGCATGTGTCATTTTCAATCAGCCAATGCGCTGTTTGCAGATCATTGCTCTAACTTTCTTGTTTGGACAACAACTTGTTATTTATGGAAAATAGGATCTTACTACCACGATTTTAGCAAAGTTCTGCGCAGATAATAAAGTGATATGCAGTGTATGATGCACTCAAAGATCGATGATTCGAAATCGAGCTCAGTACGAGACTGAGTACAGGACAGCAACTATAGGGGCATGCGTCATCTTGCACCAGCTTCAGTGTACTATTTTGTTTCTGCCTATCATCGCTCCAACCTCCTAAACATAGTCAACTTTTGAGATATGGCAAACGGACTGATGGATTGGCTGAAGCTCATCATGTCACAATAATTGATGAAACATCTTTGCTGACTCGAACATGAAGTCCTCCAACTTGAAGATTGCATATTATCCCCAAACTTGATCCTCCCCGCACTTTGAGATGGAATAATCGAAGAAGCCATTCATTATATATTCTGACTCAAACTGTAACGCGACTTGACTCAAAGATCGAATTTTCTCAGCATGTGCAAACAATTCTCCCAGATCCTTTAACAGTAGGCTTGGATCATTAAAGTTGGGTGGAAACTGCTATGCATGCGCGAAAAGTTCTCTTAGAGCCTTGAACAGCACGCGTGAAACCTTTGAGTCTGGTGAAGACATTACGCATGTTGCGGAAGAGATGCAAAAGTCCAATGAATGATTCGGGGAAACAAGGAAGAGCTTAGGAGATAAGTTTTTGGTTTTTAGCATAATTTTTGGTATCTTCAAAACTCAGTTATATATGTCAGTTTCGAAAGTTTGATGGAGTTCTCATTTTGTTTTACAAGATCGAGATTTTCCCTCTGCATAAAACATAAAAACTGTGAGTCTTGAAAATAAAACAGAGAATAAGTCCCAATTCCAAAGACTGTTAATTCTCTAAACTGCATTAATCTTTTTCTAAAATGGGTTTCTTGGATTGAAGAAGTTGATAGTTTATGTTTATTACGTTACAAACTTAGAAAGTCAAGATGGGATTGTTGAGTCTCATACAACAAATATAGAAATACATAGGTTCATCAAGCAGCAGTTAAACGTGTAGTCTTCCGAATAACTGCCATGAAAAACATGATATTCAATAGGAGACAATATGATGAGAAAATTAACAAAAGATATTGAGTTTTTATTTATTTTTATGAAATTTTCTTCATCAGAGACATATGAGAAGAATAAGATAATCTCACGTCCTCTAATCTAGTATTGTAGATGGAATCTTAAATGGGAACTTTTGAATTCAATGAGATTATCGTCTCTGATATACAAGGGGGTTTTAGAAGCAAGACCACACATTTTTGGTCCCAAGTCTTATATTGAGAGGAAGTTGGCATTGCTAGAGGGATTGAAAGGGCTTCCGACCTCAAAGGAAAACTCCATTTGGATGTACAGTCTGTATTAAAAAAAGATCTTAGATCCTTTCAATCGACTTCAAATCTTAAATTTTACTCAATATTTATTGCCCCCACGATCCAGGCATCTATAACATTATGAAATATCGAGGGGTTTAATGATTCGGAAATATGATAATCTCTCACACTCTCTTGAGTAGCTTCTAGGCAAAGTTATCACTTGCTCGAGCTTCTCATATGAGAGAGAGAACGTACTCTGAACCTCGCGGTCTTCGTCATGCGTTTCTATATTGACTGCTTTGTTTCCTGTAGAAGTAGACAGAATACTGCTATATGTCTCCCCGTCATGAGATTTCCATAAGACTTGTACGTACAGGAGAAGAGGTATGTCCACAGGATTGCAAGAATGCTTTATTTTCGTATGATCAATCAATTTAGTGACGACACTGACGACACTGTCCACCAACATGCCCAAAAAATTGATCTGGATGAGCAAAAGCATTCCCACATGCAGGGAAGTGTGCATTTTGAGTGAAAGCTAGATTTGTCTGATTTCTGCGGAATTCAAGACATCTTAACACCTCTGATGACGAAGGAACTGAAATGTTGTGATATTCAAGCAAGTACGCATTGCATTTTCAGGAATCACAGGGATTAGATGTATACAGCAGAGGCAGCTGTGATATTTCAACCGTTTTCAAGTACAAGGGGTTCCAGATCAGTGCAGACTGCAGAGACTGAGACTGGACAATGTCATCATCCAACAACAAGATTTGTTGATAGACAACATGTGGGACCTGATCATGGTCCTACGGCTAACTTGCCTCGGTGCTGTCATCCTAAAACAGGTAATTAGCTACAGATATCAGCAGCACCGATGGCTCTAGCATACATGGTCCTTTCTCCGGCAGTGTTCGTTGCCGAAGGTCTCAAATACGCTATTTCCTGCACCCTTCAGCGGAACTTCCGATGAAATATAGTTCGACCGCGTCCCTGCAAGACATAATTCATAGATTAGCGCCAGATGCCAGACTGCATGGCGTACTCATCGCAAAAGATTCTCTCAACAATGCTGCTTGCTAAATGAAATGTAGATTTCTAGCATTCTATGCATGGCATTCGAGCGATGTAGATGATTTTACTTACAACCGAGCATTAAGTTCCACTGGGCATCTGCGCCGTTGGAAAACCAGAAGCCGGAAGCGTCGACCTTGTAGAAAGTTCTCTTGGGCCCTTCACGAGTCCAGACCATCACAGGCGTGCGGTAGATTGTCTCAGAATTGGGACGTGTCCAAATGAATTCACAAAGCATCTGCTCGGTGCGGTAAGCATCCAACTGAGATTCGTCATATTCCTCATATTCGGGTGTAGGTCCACAAAAACGAGTCGAGGTTTCAACACTGTGGCATTCTTTGATATCAACGGGAGCTTTGACAGTGAGCTTCCCGCATCGACTAAGGCATGAACATTCCATGTAGAGGTTGGAATCACCGTCTGGCAGGAAGTTTTTCACCGAGAATGACTCACTCATAATACTTCCAGTGCACGTTCTGCAGGAGTTGTCACAGCCTGAGATCAGTTGGGCCACCATTGTAGCGCCCAGCAGTGCAGAAAGGCATACATTCCTGAACGAAATCATCGTTTTCCTTGGAATCAATGAGCACACCTGAGCACAAAAGATGAAGTCGCAATTGAAATCTGGTGTGGAGTTCGAAGTCTGAAAGCTCATGAACTGCTTCGTCTGGCGCAGCTGTTTATATTATCTACTAGGCAAAGAAGCCAGTTCAATTTTTGTGATATGACACCTCTGGCAATACTGGATAGACGGGAATCTCGGTGGAATAGTGCGGAGCTGTAGATCTACTGATCCCTAAGCTTGTCCGGTACACCGCTCCAAGAAACACACGCATGCCCATGCACCCATGTGGCCCAATAGAAATGTAGAAATAGCACGTCCTCCCTCGGTCCCACCTCCAGATAAAGGCTTGAACTTTGAACAGCCATGTGGAAACGAGAAATCCGTGCTAGTGGCAAGTCTTAAGTGTCACTGTAGACGTCAAGCTGATTTGTTGATGTCATCGATGTCATCTGATGTTACCACTCATGAGATATACTCAGGTATTCAATGGTGAAAAGTAAATGTGAAAATGCTTCAAGCTACTCTTTGAAGGAGGCAGAAGACTATAAATCGACCCGAGGAATGATCAGTCTTAAAACTATCTGTCACAACAACTCTGAATCTGTCCCCCGATCCATCTTGTTGGTCAAGTCTCTTAAGCTTCCAGGTCGATCTCTTCTTCCGAGTCTTTCATCCCTCCAGCTCCTTTAAGACCTTTCTCATTCGCAGATTTTGATTGTATTGCAAGCAGCCACCACTTGACCGTTATAAATTTCCAGTTTTGTATGAAGGTACTGCTTACCATGTATGATTATCTAAGACTTGTTATATTTCCTACAGGCGAGTTTGAGTGCCATGGCACGGTTCAGAATTAGCAGCGTTGTGCTGGCTTCGATCGCTGTATGGCTGAGCCTCTCGATGGTGGCCAGTGCCGCTGAGAATCGTAGTTCCATTCTGAACGCGTTGACTGACAGTTTTGCGGACCACGAGGTGTTCGTACAATGCACCTGTGTTTACGACACATATCGCCGCACTTTTACGCCTAAATTTCTTCTGAAGCCCGGGGCTAATACTTCGGTGGAAGTGGATCGCTGCCCAGGAGTCAAGCAGGTTGAATGCGATGTCACCAGGTACTCCAGGCTTCCGTTGGCTCAGGAGAAGTACTACATGAAACTGCTCGTTTGGTACTTCAAGGGGCCATCGCAGACCAAATTCAGATTCGACAACAGCGTTTTCTATTACGCCGTGGCTCCGGACTTCAATTGGGTCAATTCTGCGCTCGTCTGTGAGTAACTCTGAAAGAGCTGGTCAAACAATGCTTGCGTTCATCTCAGCGGCATTTGTTGGACATGGATTGTTCTTTTTTCTACTGTAAAATCTCGTAATCATATGCCACTGACTCCAATAACTCTTGTGTGATATTCAGGGAGTATGGACGTGGAATACTACTTCACTCCAAAGTTCCTAAGTCCGGCATCTGAAAACGTTTTATCGAAGAAAATCTAGCCTTCCGTCCTAAAGGAATGAGGACTGAGGAATGGGAGCTATTGCATTCTACATCTTTGTAGAGATAATATCCTACTTATTGGCCGGGCGATGGTGACACCTTACTGGAGCAGTGTTTCCGATTCACCTTGTTAGTCTACAAAATGTAGAGATAGCTCTCGTAGATTGTGGTTGAACTGGTCCTGCTTCCTTCTTCTGGGCTTGAAATTCATGTACTGTGAAGTTACAAGACTGGAACAATTATACGACTTCAGTCAGATGCACGAAATGAATCTCGTCTCTCATAACGAAATCTTTCTAGTCATGTTTCAAGGATGTTGAAGTACATAGTTTGACGGGTGCTGCTTTCTTTGAAGTTGTATTAGTTCTTCCAGCCAGTTCAGATTAGATTTTACTTGACAATGGAACGGAAGTCTCACGACCACTGATCTGGTCGACTGAGATAACGTCATACTCACTCAAGCCATGCTAGATGTCATGATCTTACATTTGAAGAGCAACTCGTTCTCGTTTTGGAATCATTTTTTTTCCTTGGGGAAAAGAGAAGTAGATAATTAATCTAAGATACACGATGGAATGTTCATTGAGGCCATCGGCACACGCACACGATACCTCCAACACAGCTTTGAAAGGCGCACCTGAGCGGCATACCTGCGTGGCATCTTATCAGGTCTTGAATAGTCGGGAAACACGTTGAGTCATTTGGATGAATGTCCTTTATGGACTATGATTCAATCTTCGCCACGTCTAAATTGGTAATCTTTTGCATCTCTCCCTCTTCCTTCCGCTACACATCAGCCTAGTTTGCAGCGGTGGATTGCTGCTTGAAGTCAGTCCTGATAAGATTGGGAATAATGAAAGTGGGAATAACATACATTGAAGTGGCTTTTGTATCCATTGCGTTCTCGAGGAATTCTCTACTCTAGTCTCTTACGTTCACCGATTGAAGATCCAGAGCTCTCGAATCAAGGCACTCCGCACTTTCGGTCTCCTCAAACGCATCCCTTTATTTCCATGACATAAGCAGATAAGCCAAACTAAATCTGGATCAGTCAAAATCACTGCCCAAGCTCGCATCTCCAACTTTGCGAATTTTCTCCAAATGTTCATGAAGTGTTCTCTTGAAACTTGTAGCACTCAAACAGCTTCTGGTAGATATATGATCCTCAGGTCTGCATTCTATACGAAATTTTATTTTTGTTCGATGAATTTTAAATCGTATAATATACTTTAAAAGACATTAGTTTACTACTCTACAGTACAGTCGTGAATAATAGGATCGTTATATTCATGCGGGTGGAAAGTTTCATACCAACTCATGACAACAAATTATGTTATTGTAGATGATGATTCAAATTACAATATAGATCATAAAGCATTTCAAAACAATCCGAACTGGATTTATGTGACTTCTTGTTAAGCTTGAAATTCTCGTTTCCCACTCTTTCCAAATATTTCGCTGGATTTCACCTTTATGGTAACGTCATATGTACAAACAGGGCTGGCGTGTCCGACAAAACAAAATCTCCTGTCCGACCTACAAGATCTCAAGAAAGGAAGTTATTGTCTTTCAAATAAATCAACAAAAGAACAGAGAAAATCCGGTAAGCTGGATCGAAGATATTTCACTTGTTCCCGTTCTTATAAGGTCCAGAGTAGAAACTTACCACTTACATAGAGAATAGCGAAGACCAGATTCAGGATGAATACTTATGTGGGGACAATTCTGTCGCATGATGAGCAGACAAATCAGTGACTTCGGCGAGCGAGTCAAATCTCAATCGCAGCGCGGGTCCCAGTAAACTAGCTTCAATCCAATCATGTCCTGTGCTGATATGTGAGAAGCTCACAGGACATGATTGGGTTGAAGATCGAAAGATTTTGAACTAGATTTGCCACCACCACATTGTCGTATAGATATGGAATGTACACGTATCAGGTACAAACACTCGCATTCTCGACTAAGTCTAGCAGTCGCTCGGAATTCGAAGCACTGTCTGAGTTAATCAGAAAGACTACCCATTTCCAAGAGAATTATCCTTGACGACCATAGTATTGTCATTACGTCACTGCCCTGCGCATTAATCTAGCAAAATGTGATCAGAACCCACAGCTTTTCCAGCAAAGTCTAATACAATATCCTCGTTACTGGAAAGTTCGATAATCATGATCAGATGTACAGTGGTTGTATCCAGAATTGAATAAAATAAACTTACAATCATTGAGCTTGTTCTCGGCGAGGGCGAGATTGTCATACTGGGTCGAGCAATAGACTGGTAGAATAAGTTAGATTCGAAAGTTACTGTTAGAGTGTTAATATTACACAAAACTTGACACCTGTACACTGATTCCACAATAGTTCATTGTGACAACGAGAGTGCTATAAAATTTGCTAAGAATCCAATTTTTCATGCAAGAAGTAACCACGTTGGTATCCAGCATCATTTCATTAGGGAACGGATAGCTTTGGAGGAGATTGAAGTTGGATTTCTCTCCACCAAATTACAGCCAGCAGATATTCTGACCAAGTCTCTTCCTAGGCTGAAGTTTAATCAGCACAGACATTATCTTGGTCTACGAAGTCTATCAACGCCAATTGAATAACCTCTTTTGACAATTACATATGAAGAATTAGATGTAGAGAAATAGTTTTTTAAATCTACATTAGGCACTCTAGAACAAGGGAGTGTGTTAGAATAAATTAGATTCGAAAGTGACTATTAGAGTGCTAATATTACACAAAACTTGACACCTGCATCAATGTCCAAAGTACTGGACTCAGATGATCAGTTATCCATTCACTATCGTTATAGATTACCGTTGTAGAGTACTACACTATATGTACAGGATTTCTTACTTATGATCACAAATCAGTGATTCCAACAGAGACACCATTCGTGTCCAGCTTGAAGTAAGTGTTGGCAGGCCCTATGCTTGCCCAGAAATTCATATTTCTGTATTGGTGTTTGATAGTCGCGCCTGATCGTATGTAGTACAGGAACTGGCAGAAGAAGCCCGTGGCCGAAGCACCGGTGGGGCAGGTGCTCTCTTGGAACTCCTTGTCACTACAAGGGTTTAGGAGATAGTGTTGCTGAGCACGGTGACAACGTCATTGGAGTCCAGGCAATCGCAGCGGATGTTGATGAAGTCATCCTTCGGTAATAGTTCATGATGGTGAAGGTCTTGCTATCGTCCGCTGCAGCATAGGACACCATCGCCAGTTGCACAAGGACGACACATATCACTAGAACGTAGGCTCTCGCCATTGGGAAGAGTAGAACGCGAACGAGCCATTTCCACAATTCAATTATGGCTGTTCTTAATGATTGTGACTGCATATAGACATCTGCTGAGCTCTTCCGACCGGCTAACAACCCACTCTCTTCCCTCGACAGTCATGTCGTGCATTTCGTGACCTTCTTTCATGGTTTCTTCCACTGGTTTGGCTTTTGACAATCCGCAGTGAGTCCTGCAGGTAAGGGAACAATTACTTGAGACGACAGATGAATCCACTTGATCGAATAAGTCTTATCACCTTGTGAATGTATTTCCATTTTGGTCAACTGGTTGGATGCGCATAGAAGCGATTATGCTTTAGCGACTTGACACATTCTTCCCTTGCCACTTGTGGCCGCCTTCAATATCTGACAAAATCTTAACTCTATACAACGAGGTCTTTCCTTGTGAAAGATCTCATTGCCATGATTTCAACACAGTTCTGCTCACTCAATAGGTCATATCTAGTGTTCCAAGTACTGATACTGATTCAGTGGCGTGTGCATAGGGCGACAGGACATGAGGAGTTGGAGATTGAATTGCGCAACCACTACGATAATCATAATGGAGGTTGAGTCATCTCCCTCGATTACCGCCACCACCTGCTAAAGTGATTCCTGCAGATCAGCCTTCCTGGGCTAGTATCGTTTCCAGATCTGGCAAGGAGTGAAGGAGTGGCTGAAGCTCCTTCAGGTCACGATATTATTCAAAAGACATTATCCGGACTCAAACGGTAGCTCCCCCAACTCGAAGATCGAATAATAATCGAACGTGTGCTAACAACTCATGTTGTACCTAGTCTAGTAAGCAAGGTCGAAGAATCTTGGAAGAGGAAGAGGAAAGATTATCTTGAGCACCTCCTTTGTTCCTTGTGCATAATATTCTTCATATGTAAAAATCCTCAAATGTATATACCACACATATTGTATGGCAATACCATAAGAAGAAATACTTTCGCATATCTCTAGATATCCAAGAGTGCTGTAACTCAACCGAAGCAAATTTTATAGGGATTGTCTGCAAGAAAGTACTATCTCTGACACTTTGAGCTAATTCCAAGGCTCAAAGTTTCACTCAATATTGATATCTTCCACGGTCGACACACATGTAATGCTCCAACGTTAATTGCGTATAGTGCATGAGAGATATTTACGTTTTCATGATGTCTTGAGAAGCTAGGAAGTGGACTTATGGTAATGGTAAAATATCAAGCCCGGGGTACCCGAAGGGTCATAAGGCTAAAAAGAACACAAAACAATCATCCTGTCGATACCAAGGGGAGAACTCCGTGTATAGCGGCAAGAGCAGTAGAGAAACGACTCAGAACATCTCTAAAGTAGCAATCTAATTCGTAAGGCACGAGTTGCAGTAAAGAAGAAAAATTCTTTACAATAATCTTATGAGACGTTTTTATAATATATATCTAGAACAAATAAGAAACACATGCTCTTTGTACTCTATATTCCTGCTCTCACATACACTGCATAACCAATATATAAACTGTGACATCCTGTTCTATGTCGTGCAATAATATGAGGCAAAAAAGTAAAAATCCCAGCAAAATATATCTTTGTTAGCAAAATATATCTTTGTGTGGTACCCCACTTTTGGTAATTTTGAGGAAATTAAAACATTTTTGGAAAACTGTACCACAGCAGCAATGTAAATAGCCTTCGGTGCATCAAAACAGAGTGAATTCGGAAGATCGCAGAGATTCTCGAGGGACCTCGTAGAATCTAGGAGTTGGGTGCAGCGGTAAGGAAGGGCACCACCCTCCCTGCGAGCTCTGCAGATAGGATCCCTACGGCGCAAGGCGCAAAATCCGCCTTCGGCGCTGCGTCCGCGGCGGTAGGGAAATCCTTCATATTTAGGTCAACCCCCAAACACCTTGACTTAGTTAGGTTCTAGTTGGAAAGAGCTCGACGCGCTGATTCCAACGAGCCCAAGAACGCCAACAACGGATAAGGACTCCGGGAGTTATGAAGGTTGTAAGATACTCAGCTCTTC